GGTCTGGGCACACCTAGGGTTCGCCGTTTGATTTTCGGCAAGATTTCAAGGTAAAAATTTAAAACTAATATAGAATAAAGACATTAACATAAAGCAAAAAAAATAACATAGAAATTTCTTTTTAAACAATTCCTTTTTGTACCCTAAAAAAATCTGGAAGATTTCTCTTGAAAAATGAGGGTCTTAAAAAATAAATAAAATGGCTAAAATATAGGGACTGGTTTGTGTTGAGCTGCGATCTACTATAAATAAAGAAGGTTCAAAGTAACCTATAGTAACCTATAAATCCTTTTTCATTCAATTTTTCTGTGCGTAAAGAAGGAGATTTTTAGCTGTGTCTAGACCGGACACACTGTGCTGCAAAAGGTTAAAAATTTATCGCTGTGAATATTTCTCTGAAATATATTTAACTTCGGGTATTTATACAAAAATCTATTAAAACATATCTGCCCTCCTATTTAAAATAACTTTTTAAACCAAATTTTTTAAACAATGTGTGAAAAATGTGCTTGATATAGATTTGAATTAATCGTTCTATTGTTCTAAAAATAATGCAAATATTTTGTTTCTATTTATTGACAATTCTGGGAATTATAATTTTTCGGTTATCAAAATTACTTATACGGTTATCAATGTTATCAAACGAACGGACGTTATGGAAAATTCCGTTTGAAGCTCTTAAGAACTACAAATATTCACAAAACAGCGAAAGATAAACTTCCAAATAATGTTAAAAGCACCTTTATTACACACTAAACATTAAAATTTCATTTTTCAAGTACTAAAATAACTTTCAAGTGCCAAATAAATGCGTGCATTTTCAATATCTAGCATTCTTCTTTTTAAAATCAGTAAAGAAACTACCTTGTATTTGGCGTAGATTTAGACAAAAAAAAAAAAAAAATTTAAAAAATCTGAAATGTTTCAGATTTTAAATTACGTCCAAAGGGGCGATTTTTAACATTTTGTGTGTTACCTTTCTTTATTAAATATCATGTTCCTCGCACTTAAACCATAAGATCCAGTGCAACAGCAATATCGCAAAATAGTTTTAAAACGAGCATATCTTTAGAATTTCCGATACAGAGACTCACGCGCTGGAGTGGAGATAAAAATGTTTTTATGCACAACGTTGCCATTGCTCGCTTTGAAATCCTTGAGTTTGTTAATCAAAAATTCGTCAAAGTTTTAAAAAATAGGAAATCGATCATAAAACAAATTTCAAATTTCAAATTTGGTCTTCCACATGCTCATATTCGTTGGAGGATTACGTTATTCAAAATTCGATGACTCTATGTACCGTTGTTTTATCACAATACGAGAAATATACATACATTTATGCAGATTTGTCATTATTTAATTTCTTCAAATATAATGCAGGACTCTAACATTTTGGGGCAACAGTTTGAAAAGTGAACCGACATTTATGAGTCCGACGCAAAATGCCAAAACGAAACTAAGAAACTAATAGTCCTTCGGGATTCAAATCCCTTTGGACTTAACTTTGTCTAAATCTACGCTAAAGACAGGGTTGTTTCTTTACTAATTTTAAGTTTCACTTTGGGGGAGTGTTTCTCTCGTGATTTTATTCTACTTCTTCTTACGCTCTACGCCCGAGTTCCAGCCAAGGCTGTTTCAGTCAGCTTCCGTCATCTTGACTCATCCCAACACCACAGTCCTCCACCTATTGACAACCCACCAGCGGCCGAGCGGTAAAGTCACTGAACACTGGTAGTTCGGTGCGAGGTTCGGATCCCGCGAACGGGCTGACTGCATGGGCGTTTCCGTGGTTCTCCATGTGTATACGAGTCAGTTTCCCTTAGAAAGTCCTCCACGAAGGCAAGAAGTTGTCATTTTTATTAATGCATGTAATGAAAAAAGTCACCTAGAACAAAATCAGTTTAATTTATACTTTTTAGAACCATCAGTTTCTATATCTTGCTATTTCAAGATAAAATAATTTCTACGCTCTTAAGTTGAAAAACGAATTCGAGAATATTCTCGTATATTTTATATATTTATGTAATGAAAGCCCAAATTTTGGAAGCACTGCATTGGGAGTTAGTTCCACGCACTTTTTCTGAAGAATTTGCAAAATGAAGTAAGTACCATATTCTGATACCTGATGATATCTAACTTTCGATGATGAACTTGCAGATACTTTTTCCATTGGAATTCTAGGCAGCAGGTACAAAAATGTCATGATATAAAATGAATGATTTGGAGATTGGCGGTGGCGTAACAGATGAGTAGCGAAGAAACTTGTCAAGGCAAACATGTCCGGATTCAAGATAACTTTATTATTGAGGAAAACAAGTCGGGATTCGCAATTTTTGGTTCACATACGGACGAGCGTCTTATGCGCTCTACATTTTTGTTAGATCAGCACATATTCCATGAACAAAGAAGGCAGCCGCAAAGCTTCTGGCCAGGAGGAAAGCTTAAGCGAAAGTGACGCATCAGTTCATAGAAAGAAAGGAGGTAGTTTTTATTTATGGTTTACAATTCGGTGATTGGTCAAGAGGCATCTGCATTAAGGGTTACGTAAGATCGCATGATTAATTTGAATGACGCAGTTTAGACTTAAGCGCTATTTTTAGGACAGACAGATGAAGTTCCCAAATGAAATAAAAAATAAAAGAGGTTATAGTGAATTAAAGTTCGCTTTCATATTTTTTATCTTACACTTATATATATTAAAAGAAATTTAGCTTGGAAAAGAGCAAATTTGCTTTACACTTTTATTTATCATTTTCCTGCGCCAGTACTCAATTAGTTGATAAATTTTAATGCATATTACCTACAGCAAACTTTTCCGAATGGCGATTTGCGGAACGCGATTTCATATACATGCGCTATGTTAATTGTTTCCATTTAATTATATTTTCAACGCTAGAATTTCATTCATACGTGGTTCACCGTTTATTCAACATCGAATGCTCGCTGGCAGAAGGCAGTGAAGGGCTTGCAGGTATGGAAGAAAGATGAAGGTTGTAATTGAGCCGATATTTCAGTTTGAGTACTACAGCCCTACTAGCGATTTATGGCTACGTCTGAAAATATCATGACCGAGGTGAAACTTGTGAAGGTTAAAACAACCTTTTTATGAAAGTGAACTTTTAAAAGGCACGACTTGTGCTATAAATAAACCACTACTTGTGGCGATATAAATTAATCAATAACAGGCACTCACATTTAAATGTACATAAAACTAGTCTAAGACTACACAGGCAATAAATAAGTTATAATCCGGCTCAACTAACTTTAGCAGCGGGTACGTTTAAAGCAAATGCAAAAGCCGAGATAATACCTTTCAGACAGACATGGCAAAAGTCTTATCAGCCCGGCGTTACTGCCAGCAACTGTCTCTTTCTCTCTAAGACCCAAACACCCAACCTAAATACACTAAAAGCTAATTTTCATTCTGGTGAGGAATACGATAAGATAAAATAAAAGTAAAAATCATAATAACTGGTTAATTAACATAAGAACCTTACAAGAAGAAGTTAAAGAATTAATGGAGAAATGACGAATGAAGAATTGGATAATCTCAAAACACCAGCCGACAGTAAAAACAGTCGCAAAGAAGAATAACATAACGTGCATTTAATTTACAGGAAGTTAAACCAATTGTTAAAAAACGATAGAAACTGACTGATTTTGCAAGGAAGATTGACTCAAACGAAGAAAGAAGAGGCCACTTTATGAGAGGTACTGAAAAATTCCGAGATTCTTACCGCGAAACATTTAAAGAGTTGCGCCGGTCATTATCCGAAGCAAAATTTGTCAGCTTTCTATTTAAAAATATTTTTCATTCGCACTTATGAAGCAGTAAAAAAGTCGTTTCAATTAATATTCCTTTTTAGCCCAAAGGAACAGTTCAGAAGGGCTATTAATTTCGTTTGGGGACTTTGCGTTTGTTTAACTATAAAAGGTTCAAATTGTTGCCGCCAAATATTAGAGCCCTGCATTGTATTTAAAGAAAAAAAATAATGAAGAATCTGCATGAATGTATGTATGTTTCTCGCACTGTGAAAAACACAACAGTACCTAGAGACATCCAGTTCTGAATAGCGTAGTCCTCCACTCGAATATGGGCATCTGGAAATCTGAATTTGGAATTTATTTTGTTATCTGTTTCATATTTCATAAAACATTTATGAGTTTCTGATTAACAAACTCGACGATTTCAAAGCGAGCAATGGCAACAGTGTGCGGGGATAAAATTATCTCCAATGCGCGAGACTGTGTATCGAAATTGTAAAGATATGCTCTTTTTAAATAATTTTGTAATATTGCTATTGAATTGAATTTTATGGTTTAAGTGCGAATAACATGATATTTAATAAATAAAGGTAACATACAAAACGTTAAAAAAAAAATACCCCATTGAGCCTAATATAAAATCTGAAAGATTTCAGCTTTTTGGGGGGGGAGGGGGTATTTCCCCCCTTTTTTTTTTCTTTTTAATACCAGCAGTATTTAAATATTTTTTAATTGTACAAACTCTCTTCATCTGAATTATATCTAACACATTTTTTCCATAGAGAGTTAACTTTTGCCGAATGCGATTTTGCGGTGATCTTAATTTATTAACGACTGACCCCCCCCCGTTTGACAAGGGTTTACTGTATCTCTCAGTTTTTGCTTCATTTATATCGTATATAATAAATGCAACATTATTTTAATCTTCCAGTTTGTTGGCTTTAGAGTTTTAGAGATGTTTATAATATTTGATAATAATGCACTACATCCTCATCAACTGCGATATAAACATGTATACTGCCAGAGTCAAGCTCCTTGCGTGAAAAACTTACAAGGCTGCGGGCTACAGTGCTGAATCAAATTTAAAAAAAAAAAAAAAAAGAAGTAGGGAATAAAACGGGGGAAAAAAGTAACGAAAGAAACTATTTGAATATGAAAGAAAAGAAAAAAAGACTGTGAAGGAAGAGCAGTAGAAAAAGGGAGGGAAAAAAATGAGGCAGTATTGTTCCCCTTACCTTCCTTGTGATCGTGGTCCCGTTCGATCTTGGCACGAGCGGCGTCCGCTAATAGGTGGTGGACGCGATGCGACTGCGGGTAAACTCCGACAGCAGCTACGGTCGCAGCGACGCCGTCTCTCAGCAACCGCTCTGACTCCATTTCAGACAAGCTCTCCGGCCGGATGGTAGCCGTATTCCGCGGCTGCCTCTCGTTCTGCACGGCTGTGGTGTGATAGCAAAGTTAGTCGGAAGTCTTCATTTAGCTTCCATCATGCATGTCCAACAGGTTATTCAAGAAAACACTTTTACACTCACAGAGCAAAAAATACAATCACTCACACAGTTTTTATGCTCACAGAACCTCCTATTTTTACACTCACAAATGAAAAGATCACTGGAACAATCACTGAAATATAAATGGCTGTAACTAAAGCTGAAGAAATTAAGTATATAGTTTATTTTTATAACGGAGCAGCTTACTTTCATTGCATTATTTAGGGCTATGTTTATATATTCCGCATTACTTCACTGCTGCGGAAAAAAAAAAAAAAAAAAAAAAGAACTCCCACATTCCCTGACATCATCTGTTATAACTGCTGCTAACTCAAGCATTTTTCACTCCTTTTTTGTATTTTCTGTAGACAGTTTTGTTTCACTCTGATGATCTGTGATATTTTTTGAGACGCCCCAGATAATCGGAAGTTAACTATGCATTTAAATTTTAATAAGATATGGAAGGTGCATTATGTAATGAGTATAATTAACATTTTTTATACAGAACATACCTTCTTTTGATAACTGCCCTCTTTTGTATACTTCTATTGATAGCATATATTTTTTGTTTGCAATAGTGAACACGTATACTTAATGGATATTTAATACTTAATGGAACATATATACTTAATGAATAATGTATATTAATTAAACATGTTTACTTGATGTATACTTCTGTATACTTAATACTTAAATAATAAAATTGTAAAAACTTAATCATAGCATGCTTTCTTTTGTATACTTTTGTTGATAGCATGCTTTCTTTTGTATACTTTTGTTGATAGCATGCTTTTTTCTCGTACTTAATGGCGGAACTGTTTTCTGTCATACGGGTATGTATAACATATTTTTAGCTCACTTAAATCATTGAAATGAATTTTTCCTTAAGTATCCTGGACATTCGTCAAAATTTTAAGGAAGGAACCGGCGATAAATAACTATATTATTAATTTTTTATTTAATTCCTTAATTAAGATTTCACAAGTAGATTATAAAATACAATACCGCATCAAAAATATCTGAAAATTTTTATATTTTAAATATTGCCCCAAAAGGGCTTTTTTATAAATATCGTTATCAGTGGAGATTATAGATAAAGATTGCCCAGGTGGAATAGCGAAACATTTTAGAGTACTTTAGATGAATATGCATTTAGACTAACTTAGGAACGTTATGTATCTTCTGTACGTTTAAAAAGCGAAATAAATATATAATGTAATTCCATTAAAATATCGAATGTTTTTAATTAGATATATCATGAATTAAACACATTTATATTGAAATCAATCAAATTAAAAAATTAAAAAATAGTACTTTTAAGAACCTCTTCTATTGTTTTAATTAGTTTTGTTTTGTTAATTAATAACAGACAGATTAAATATGACAGAATAATATCTTACTTTTTCCAAATGGCAACAGACTTGAATGAAAACTGAAACAAAGCATTAAGTGAAACAACGTAAAATCGTGTTTTGTGATTTTAATACCCCTTTTGGGTAATAAAAAATTCATGTATTATGCATATGCCGGGTAGGACACGAGAAACTTTATTTGCTTTGGATTCGAATTATTCTGGGCCCTCCCGGTACTTTACACGCTTCAATACAAAATAAAGACACATTTTTTACTGGATCAAGTTATGCCATCATCGTTTATCAGTACTGCGCAGTAAAAGAAACACTTTTCTCCCAATATATTCAAGCGCTCCACAGAAACACTCCTGCAAAAACGTACATTAGAATACAAGCCAATTAAGAAGATATTTAAATAGCTGCATTTCAAAAAAATAATAATCATCGTCTGTTTGATTTTATAATGTTAAATACATTGTTCTGACGATATTGTTACAGTAAATAAAAATTGCAGTTTTCTACTCCTTTTACTATAAACGTTTGCTACTAAAAGACTACAGTTCTGTCAGAAGTTCTATAACATACTGCTTTATAAATTTAATTCTTAAAAGTAGTATATACTCATGCATTTTTCTATTATAGATTTTTTGATTTCGGCCGAAATATTGGTTTTGATTCAAATTGTAAATAAATGCATACAACTTTAAAATAAAAATTATTAGCCCAAAGGGCGTTAGCCCAGAAGGGCTATTAATTTCATTTCGTTATTTTTGCGTTGATTCACTATAAATGTCGGTTCACTTTTCAAATTGTTGCCACCAAATATTATCCCCCTGTGTTATATTTAAAGAAATTAAATAATGAAAAATCTGCATCAATGTGTGTATGTTTCTCGCATTGTGATAAAAACAACGGTACCTAGAGCCATCGAATTTTGAATAGCGTAATCCTGCGCCGAATAATATGGTCATCTGGAAGCCCTAATTTGGAATTTGTTTTATTATTTATTTCATATTTTGTCAGACATTAAAGAATTTTTGTTTAACAAACTCAACGATTTCAAAGCGAGGAATGGCAACACTGTACGGGAAAAAAAAAAAAAAAAAACTCCAGCGCCCGAAGCTGTGCATCGGGAATTCCAAAGAGATGCTCATTTAAAAATTATTTTACACTATTGCGTTGAACTGAATTTTATAGTTTACGTGGGAAGAACATGATATTTAATAAATAAAGGTAAGACACAAAATGTTAAAGAAACGCCCCTTTGAACGTAATGTAAAATCTGGAAGATTTCAGATTTTTTCAAGTTTTCATTTCACATACCATTAATATTTCTTTATTACAGCCACTTTTAACAAAAAATAATTATATCAGTCTAAAGGTAGGAAAATCGTAAAGAAATAGCAGCTAACTTCATTTTTGAATGTGTTCATTCAGAAAAGATGCATAACGATTGCTAGTTAATGTTCTAGATTAGCTTAGAACCTTCAATTATATGAAATATCTACAATAACAACTTGCTTTCTCTACAAAGCAGTTTGTTTGGGTATTTAATATGAAAACATTGCTATATGAAGAGTAGAAAAAATTATGTTTATTGGTTTTATTTATTTTTTTCCAGGTTTTCAATTCCGTGAAGAAGGGATTCTGAATGAATCATAACTGTAATAATGAACTAACGTAGCTCAGCAGAGATACATTTATTCATCTGCCATGCAGCATCAAAGCTTTAAAAATCTTGATTAAGGTTTATGTTTATCAACCGATGCTGTGTACCGCTGATTCGTTTGTAAACAACAATTGCAAGGCTACTGTTCTGTTATCGGGATCGGATTCAGATATCACTAAAACCTGACGATTTGGCGAAAATACGAAGCATAAAAATATTTACGATACTACCGAGATATTTACCACCACGTTGTTTTTTTTTTTTTTTTTTCCGAAATAAAAATAGACTTTCGTCCAACTTCAACAATATTACCAGTGCGGTCTACATCTTAATGCATGGCCACAGACATCCTTTTATGTAACTGTTCCAGGAGGCAACAGTGCAATGATTCATATCAAGTTCTCATCAAATTCAAGGGATGTTCATTCTAAACACTATGAATAAAAGAAACTCATTCTCGATCTTTCAAAGCAACTTTCAGAATGTAATCCTTCTTTTCCCCCCTCGGCACGTTGGCTCGGTGTTTCCTGCGAATTGAAGTAGATCTTCCTTTTATGGTTTTTCTTGCACTTGTTTTCAGAGTGAATAATTTTTCGTTCCTGAAGAAATTGAATGGAAAATGTTTCTTCATTAAAGAAATCCCGAATTTTCATACTTATGGTAAATACGGTAACAGTAAAAACAAAAGTTACCGTTAAATTTTTAGAATTTGAATTTTTGTTGCCAATTTTGAAAAGACATTCATTTACTTGTTTTAAAAAAGTAAACATTGTAAGGAATTTAAAAATAAACATTGGAGACTTCATATCAACCAATCTTTTGGCGAGTTTAGCAAAACATTTGGCGACCACTCCGGTCCCGTTAACAGAACAGCACCGTTTGGAGGTTCGTTTAATTCAACAAGTAATTATAGACAATCTTGGAATTTTGCAAGGTTATAGCTGACTCTGTGATCAGTTCTCAGAAGATTCATGCATAAACAAATACCTAAAGAACGATCTTTCTTTTCAAAACACTGCTCGTCAAAATCTTCGATAGAATGCCACAGAACTTAAATGGATCTTCTTATACAGAAATGGTAGGCTTCCCTAAGAAGTAGGACTGTACGCCCGTAGGTCACTGATTTGGCCTATAGTTGATGAACAGTCGACGCCGAGCTTGGAAGCAACGAACTATAGAATATAAAGGCTAGAATGGCGAACAGAGGCGATCTGATCTGTTCACAGATGAGCAGAGATTAAACGCACACCCCGATAATCAAGGCATTCCCATCTGGCGCGAGAGAGGAATGCCAAGTAATCCTTTCCTTACACAAGAGCCATCTCCATTTTATGAAGGTGGAATTTTGGTTTCGGGGAAAGACTAAATATTATTGACCAGCATATGGGAAACTATACTGATAACTTAATCACAATTGTTCCAGTAACAGTCACAAAATATAATAAAAAATCTGATGTGTACACCACATGACTTCCTTATACGGAATACTAAATTATGCGCATTTTTTCTTGAATTACATTGAAACTTATTGAACTGAATTAAATCTACTTCGCCGATAGCGCATATAAACCATAACTGAATATATGCACTCTTTCAAATTCACTATATTTGTTTACCATAGCGACACTCTGGCGCTAGGTTCACTCAACAGCGTTATATTCGTTCATATTATAACTCAGAATGCACAAAATTTATATCATTTGAAGAATTATCTAATCGCTGCCACATGTTCTATTTAAGTACTATAATAAATCTAGAAGTATATATAAAAGCAATTAAGCAAACAAAACAAAAAAAGAAACAGTTTTCACAGACGATTGAGTATTTCTCATTCAATTAATTCAGTTCTCACTTCGTGACAAAGCAAAAATACATAAAAACTCAAAATATATGTATTAAAAATTACGAAGTAAATCTTAAACACTTAT